TTTTTCAATATTTTATAAAGCAATTTTTTATTTTTTTATATATATTATAAATATATATTTTTATATATATTATAATTATTAATATTAATTACGAAGTTTTACTGTTATTTATTACATAATGCATTAATTTTCTTGTTTGTTTAGATGTGATGTTACAATTATTCAAAAACTTGTAAGTGATCGTGAAGAAGTATTGCAAGCACTTCCAGATCATGATGCACTTTTTCTTAGTGGTCATATCAATGTGAATAGTGATTTTCTTGATAAAGCAGGTAAATATTAAAATATAATAATTTTTTAAATAATATAACAAATCATATTTCTTTCGCAGAATTTTGAATTTTAATGTAAATTATCGATAACAACATTAATCAAATCAAATTTTAAAATTTAATTGTTTAAAGAAATATTTGTAATATAATTGTAATGACAAATAATTAAATTTCGTATTTCAGAATTTATAAATTATTTATTAATTTTTTAGTTATTATATAATATGTTATATAATATTTTATATAATAATGTATTTTCAATTTAAATGAATAATTTTATATATCAAATATTTCTTAAAGCAACATTTAAGTCATATAAATTTATTCATAAATTTTCAATAATAATATAAATATTTATTCTTTTATAAATAAAAATAATAATAATAAAAAATTATAAAAAATATTGAAAAATTAATAATAAATAAATAAAAATTAGGATCGTCCCTAAAAGTTGTTTCAACGATGTCAGCGGGTTATGATCATTTAGATGTTCCCGAAATTAAAAGAAGAGGTATTAAAGTTGGACATACTCCTATAGTTTTATCAGCTGCAGTTGCGGAAATGGCAGTACTTTTATTATTAAATGCAGCAAGACGAATTCATGAAGGACGTCTAAAACTTGAACAGTAATTAAAAACGAATTTAATTTTCTTTCGAAAATTTAATTTTTTAAAACAAATATCTATAAAAAAAGTTTAAATAATAATTTTAAATGTAAAAAATATTAAAATTTATATGTATATTTTGTTTATTTAAATTTTTAAAAATTTAGCGGTGAAGTAGAAACACATGCACAATGGTTACTTGGTCAAGACTTAAGAGGATCAACAGTTGGCATTGTTGGTTTGGGCAATATTGGTCAAGCTATCGTTAAACGATTGAAAGGATTCGATATAGGCCATTTCATTTATACTGGTCATTCTCGTAAAAAAGCAGGTATTTATATGTATGAATGATATATGTAAGAATAAAATATTTATCTTTAAATATGGATACTTTTATTTTAATTTTATTATATTATCAGGAGATGAGCTCGGAGCTGATTTCGTATCTCTTGATGAACTTCTTGCACAAAGTGATTTCGTAATTGTTGCCACTTCATTAAATAATGAAACTAGGGGATTATTTGATGATAATACTTTCAATAAAATGAAGAAAAATGCAGTGTTTGTTAACATTGCTCGTGGACAAATTGTAAAAACAGATGCCTTGATTAAAGCATTGCGTAATAAAACAATTTTTGCGGCCGGCCTTGATGTTACGGATCCAGAACCATTGCCACCAGATCATGAACTTCTTCAACTTCCTAATGCTAGTAAGAATTGTTAATTATTTAATAAATAAAATTAAATTATTTAATATTATAAATTCCAGGTAAAAATAATTTAATTTTTTTTACTTTTTTTATATCTTTATTAGATTTTAGTAGATTTTCTTTATATTCCATTTTATATTTTTATACTGTGAACATATTAGTTGATAGAAATATGTAGCAAAATTGTATATACATTAACAAATATAAAATTTATTGCAGTTATTGTACCTCATATAGGCAGTGCTACTGTGAAGACAAGAATTGATATGTCTCTTACTGCAGCACAAAACATTCTCAATGGATTAGAGGATAAGCCATTGGTATATGAATTATAACTAATATGTTCTCTTGAACATATGTGAAGTATAAATTTTTATTTCACAATTTATAAGACATTATTATATTAATTATACAATACAATAATATATTTTTAAAATATTTTAAAATATTAACTGATATATATAAATTTAACATGTACTTAATATTAGTTTTTTTTTACATGAATTTATACTATTTATATATATAAAATTTCTATATCTCTTTAAATATATTTTGAAAACATTGAAATATTTTTGATATTTTGTGATAATTTTTTGCTCGTTATAAAAATGTTTAATATCTAGCATTATTTTTTATATTATCTTATAAAAAATGTTGGATATTTTTTTTTTTAAAATGTCATATAAAAATGCTAATGAAGAGAAATACAGAGAAATTGTAAAAAAATGTAATTTAAACTTTTTGTAAATTAGAAAAAAAAATATACAATAATATTTCCATCCCATTATTTATAGTATCTATTGATTACAAGTGTTACCAAATGTAATTACAAACTTTTGGTATTTATCACCCGTAATGCACAACAGGTAACCATCAGGCTTCCACTACTGCATTTTTTAAATTGCTTAAAATTGGATCAATTTTACTTTCCAAAGATAATATATGGCCTGTATTACAATTATGACTAGCAATAAAACTAATTACTAATGGTAACTTGTTCATTTGAACTACCTATAAAAATAAAATAGCAATTTACATTAATATTTATATAGACTCCTTTTTTTCTTAAAAAGCATTAAAATTTAAATAATATTTTATAATAATACATTTTTTTTTATTACCTGATAACTACTATACATGCATATAATTGTTTTATTTTTCCCTAATCCTAATTTACTTCCTTGATCTGTTGCCATGCCAAATGTAGATAAAAAACTTGCTCTCATAGCTAATTCTGGTGTTGTTTCATCAGCTACAGACACAACAGGTACTCCATCCCTATCTGTTATCAATATACTATGAAGTCCTTCCACACTACTTAAAAGTCCATAAAGAAATTTTCTTAATTCCTGAGATAAAAAATATTAAAAATAATTAACATATATACTTTTTATATTATGATATCATAATATAAATATAAATTTAAATATCTTAATATTTGTTACCAAAATATATATATTTTTTTACAAATATTTTATTGTTATTTTAGAATCGACTTGATTTATCATAACCTTAATATGAGAATCTTAAAATTTTTTTTAAAATAATGTAACATGATCAAAAACTTACTGCTGTCATTTTCAATATTTACAGAGATAAATATTATGTAGTAGATTATAAATTTATATTAAAGTTTAATAGATCTTAAATATAAAGAATATTAACTATCAAATACTACTTTTGACAGATTGTCATATGATAAACGTAGAATGCGCGCGCATCGTTTAAATTACCATAATAAAAAAAAGCTTTGAGAGTTGTAATTTAATTTCCGAAAATTTATAAAATATTTTTTTCATATTTCCTAAATTTAAAGATTAGTTTTATTTAATAAAATTTAATTTAATTATAATTGTAAATAATAATAATAATAATAATTCTAAATAATGATTTGATTTATTAAAACATTTTTTAATTTGTTTGAAGTTTATCTTTACTTATATAATATTTATCTAAAATGTTTATTTTAAAGAAACTAAAAAACTTAAATTTATGTATATAGTAATATTAATAGTATTAAAAATTTGTTATATTAACAAAATTTTTATTACAAAATTTGATTAAGTCTAATAAAGTTTATAAATAAACAATCATATTATATATGTATTACATATGATAATCACAAAAAAATTGATAAATTATATTTTAATTGATTACATATAAACATAAATAAAATAACTATTTCATCATATAATATTTAAAAAAAAATGTATTTCTATAATTATTATTTTTGAATTTCTATACGTGAATTTGTACTATCATCACTTGAGCAACCTCCATACATAAACATTTTTGGTATATCTTGACCATAATATACTTTTGTATTCTGTGCTAATGCTTCATATTTTTTTAATTCTAAAAATTCTTTGGTAAGCAGAAGTCTATTTGCTTCAGCTTGCATCTTTGTTTGGTAATATTCAGCATCAGAATGACTTTTTTGTCTTGCTAAATGCATTTCATCTTCAATTGCTGCTATTCGTTGTAAAGATTCTTTTTCCATAATTTTTTGATTAAATTGTATTTTTGCTACTTGTGCTTCTTTTTCTGCTTCAATAACAGCTTTTTTTCTATCTGTTTCTGCATCTTTTTCAACAACTTTTTGATGTTGAATTGATATTAAAAGTTTTGTTTTCTCTGCTTCCCTATAATATGTGTATATATGTGTATATGTGTA